TGCTCAGGGACAGTGGATATGTTTGTTATTTGTTCACTCATTCAACAAAAATGTTTTGTTTACCTATAATATGCAAGGAATTTACTGGACCCCAAAGGCATGTCAAGATAATTACAGAACCTGGAAGCCAACAAACATAAATTTAAATCACTTACCTTTTTCTTTCTCTGATCATATCTGACCGTGTTTACACAAAGGAGGCATTGATTATATGTCTCTAAACTGGCTTTTCAGGCCGAAACAGGTTTGGCTCAATGGATAGAGCATCGGCTTGGGGACAGAAAGGTCCCAGGTTTGATTCCAGTCAAGGGCATGTACCTTGGTTGCGGCACATCCTCAGTAGGGGGTATGCAAGAGGCACCTGATCGATGACTCTCTCTCATGGATGTTTCTAAACTCTCTATCTCTCTCCCTTCCTCTCTGTACAAAATCAATAAAATATATTTTAAAAAAAACAATAAAAGATAAACTGGCTTTTCAGGCTCTGATGTGCATTATGCACAGCCCAGAGGCAGCTGAAGAGAACACAAATATTTTTAAAGGGTGAGCTTTACTTCCCTGAAAGACCAGGCCAGGCCCCATTGGCTGTACTTTCCAGCATAAAGGCGTGGTTTAGTAACTTTAAAAACACACCTAAGCCCTATCTGTGTGGCTCCATTGATTGACATGTCATTCCATACAACAAAAGGTTGCAGTTCAATCTCAGGTTAGGGTGAGTAGGGGAGGAAACTGATGTTTCTTTCACATTGATGTTTTTCTCTCTCTCTCTCTCAAATCAATAAATATATCCCTCGGGTAGGGATTTAAAAAAACACATAACTGGAAAGGTCTCTGAGTAGAAAGGGCTGGGGGCATGAGAGGAGGAGAAACAAGAATGCCTGCTAGAGTCTGAGTTGTTACGAAGCGAGTCCCCAAGAGATGGACCACTGGAGCCAATTTGATTAAGCATGCTAGAATTTATTACAGATTCTAATCTGGGCTCAAACCATGGCTGATGCAGCAGCCAGTAAACACCCAGGTAAGAGCCCTGATGGAGGGGCAGTCCCTCCAGAGCGCTCACACAAAAACACAGACAAACACACACCTACCGAGGCCAGTCAGGCTCTCCGGAATGGGGGTCCTTCATGGTCCTGGCTGGGGATTCCAGTCATGATCCCCAAGAACCACCAGGGAGCCGAGCCCGATGCAATAAACAAAAGAGCCATCTCCATGCTAGCATGGGCTGTCCCACTCACGCCGGCAGCATGGCGGAAGAGAGCGAATTTCGCCCAGTCCAGGGGTTTTACTCAGGTCGGTGATGTCACTGCCTCGGCTAACCCTCATTGGCCCCTCAGGACTAAATTCTAAAGACTGGGGACAGCCCGCAGGGTGGGTTCCCAGTCACACCCTGCTGGACATTGGAATGTGGCCCTATCTTGCCCATAATACAAAAGCAGAACTAAAGGTTATCTACAGTTTCTACCCCTGAAGCTACTGAGTCAGTGGGAGTCAATCTCCTGCAACTACCCTATTGTTCAAGCTAGTAATCGAAGGTCGAAGTCAGATAGCAAGGTTAAAATTCAAACAGCAGTTTTTACCCAAGTATGAGGGCTACCATATTTCATGAGTTTGGAGAAAAAAATTAATTCCTTTCTCTTAGCTTCACTCTTGTGCCTGCTGCCCTTTCCCTTTTCGGGTCCAGCTGCCAACACAGGTCTCTGGCACTGCTCCCCCTTTGTGTTCCTTCCTCCTAGAATGCGCGTGGCCATGACCTTGGCCAGAGCTGAGGGAGCTGGATTTCTCTTTAAGGAGGCAGCTGCTTCCGAGGGTATCCGAGCTTCTTTTCAGATGAATATATCATCTTTCTCCAGTAGAATATATCATCTTTCGTAACCTCTTCATCCAAACATCACATCAGGTCAAAGTAATGCTATTTTTTTACAGCAGCCTCTACCTTTGAGTACAGAACATACTTATGCACATATTATCCTTCTAGGGTTTGTTTGTTTTTCATGCATTTCTGAACATCTGCATTTCAAGTATTTTTTTCCTATTTAGTTGTAAACTTCCAGCTATGCTTGTGATTGCATCTGAAAGACCTCAACTAAATCAGATTAGTGCAAGTTTTCTATCTAATTGGCCATGGTTTTATTACATAGTTCTACCAACTGATTTTAAACTGTGTCCCATTTACCTGACCTTCCCACAGTGCAGAACAAATCTAAATCTGCTTCCTTGTTCTCTTATGGGGTGCCTTGCACAATGGGTATTTAATATCGTTTGTGGGCTCCTTGATCTGAGAGTTTACTACCCAGAGGATGGTGAGCAGCCCTTATCTATCTCTAGATGAGATGGAATAAGAGGAATCTGGTTTGAATGGTGGGGGAAGATTTAGGTTAGATATAAGCAACAGCTTAAACCTTGTAAGTCTTGACAGAAGGAGATTGTGGAGTTTTTCCTTGAAAGTTTTTGAAGAAGAAGGAAGAAACTAATCTTGACAGATAGCTTCAGCTGCTATTCAGGAGAGGGAGAAACAAGCATTGTCATTCAGCTCAGAGAATTAGCTCAGTCACGATGCCTCTACGTTGGCGTCCTTCGTTAGGGCACCATAATGCCAGGGTTCTTTCCCCAGCCTTACAAAGGGTTCGGCGTTCTGGAGAAAGGGGCTGTGCGTAGATTATTAAGGAGTCCAAGGATGAAAGACAGTTTTGAAAGGCATTGGGGGTCAGAGGAGCTTCAGCTAAAGGGAACTGATGACTCTCTTTGTCTCAGGACCCCATGCTTTTATTAAACACAATTTATCCAAGACACTTCAAAGATTAAGGTATCAAAGGGTTTAGAAGCATTATCAGTTTGGGGAATAGCCTACAGCTTTTCAGGTGTTTGGCCAACATGAGGCAATAAAATGCCCTGAGCTGTCTGGCAACTAACAATCCTATTCAGGTTTGGGGGAAGTGCCAGTTAGCCATTTCCAATAGGTAAACTACATATGACTCAACCCTGTTGAGCTCCCCAAGCTTCACCAACCTTTTGGGGAAACTCTTGTAATTATTACATGCTGGAATTGGCTCTCGGCACCTCTAGAAATGGAATCCAAGTCCATACTTATAGTTCCTTTCCAAATAATAGCTCTATTTATTTAGTGTATGGCCCTTTTTCTCCATTTTATCGTAATCTTGTTATAATTCTCTAAGGTAGTTATTATCATCCCTATTTCATAGATGAGACATACTAGGTTAAATAACTTGCCCAAAGTCATATAACTGGTAGGTGGTGAAGCAGAGACTAAAACCCAGATCTCCTACTAACTCAAAAGCTGTGCCCTAATCATTACATGGTATGAAATCCTTTAGCAAGGGATCAGATGTCAGTGGGCATCTTTGGACCTGTAGAAAATGTATGTCATTGAAATTTACAGCTTCCAAAATGGGAAAGACAACTTGAGCACTAACCTGAATTCACTACCTTACTTGACTTGGGTCACAGATTTCTACACAGTAGATTTTTCACCAAATTTGTGTAGAATAAATCTGAAAATGAACTAATTGTCTTTAGGATATGGAGAAAAGCCCAGTGCAAATCATTACTAAACCAATACTTATTGAATAGTATCAGTATTTTAGTCTCTAATCTGCCTTGTGCCAATGTGTAGGCAGCACATTCTAAATATTTTGCTTTAGTGTTTTCTAGTGATTTTATGTTTCTAGGGGGTGAAAAAAGATCTCTTACCCTCTGAGACCACATGGAGGGACCTGGAGTGTATAATGCAAAGCAAAATAAGCTCATCTGAGAAATACAAGTATCACATGACCTCACTCATACGTTGAATCTAATGAACAACATAAACTGATGAATAAAATAAATCCAGAGACATAGAAGCATAGAACACAGACTGTGGAATCTCAGAAGGAAGGCAGGGAGGGTGGGAAGTGATCAATCAAAGAATTTGTATGTATATATGCATAATCCTTAAACAGAGACAATGGTGAAGGCCTGGGGCCAGGGACGGGCTGGCTAGAAGGAGTCAATGGCTAAAAATGGGGAACATATGTAATGGGAGTCAATGGATAAAAAAGGGGGACGTACGTAATACTTTCAACAATAAAGATTTAATCTATACTAATAAAAGGGTAATATGCCAATTAGACCGGGAGACCTTCTGGATGTCCTGGACAAAGCCATGGTGAGAGCAGAGGCAGAGGCAGTTAGGGGCAATCAGGCCAGGAGGGGAGGGCAGTTAGGGTGATCAGGCCAGAGGGGAGGGGGCCAGTTGGGGGTGAGCAGGCAAGCAGGGAGAGGCAGTTGGGAGCAATCAGGCCAGTTGGTGGTGGGGGGGGGGGGCAATTGGAGGTGATCAGGTTGGCAGGGGGAGGGCAATTGTAGGTGATCAGGCCTGCAAGGGAGGGCAGTTGAGGGGTAAAAGGCTGGCAAGAGGGCCATTTGGGGGTGAAAAGGCCAGTAAGGGGGAAGTTGGGGGCAAGCAGGTCAACAGGCAGAGTGGTTAGGGGCAATCAGGCAGGCAGGCAGGTAAGCGGTTAGGAGCCAGCAGCCCTGTGGAATCAGGCTTAAACTGGCAATCGGACATCCCCCAAGGGGTCCCAGATTGGAGAGGGTGCAGGCCTGGCTGAGGGACCCCCTCCCCCTACACGAATTTTGTGCACCAGGCCACTAGTTTAAAAAATAAAATCAGAATCAGACAAAGTTGACTGAATGAAATTTATATCTTAACTATTATATATTTTTTATCTTACTGCATTTTATTATATTTCCATATTGGGTTTTCATCGACTTCTTAAGGATCAAATTAAATTATCTAATTAAACAATGTAGAGGTTTGATTGCATAAGGAATAATGAAATGAATGAACTGGAGTAAAAGATAAAACAAATAATAAAGACCTTTGATCTGATTAATCAAACCAGATGACTGAAAAAAATAATTACCACATAAATATTTTAAAAATACTTTGTGCTAAAAAGAGAATAAGCTAATAACCATCTTGCTTTTGAAAATATTAACAGTGGCCCTGGAAGGGATTTGGAGCATTAGAAGGAATTTCCCCGTGGGAGGCTTGAAGCCAGGACCGCCCAGCAGAAACACCTTACTGCCACAAGCCAAGTACTATTCGAGGCACGGAGGGCTGAGAAGTAAGACCCCAATACCCCGACTTCCTCCAAAAGTCCTGAGGGCACAGAATGGGTTACACACCAGTGGTATTTGCTTTAGTCAGCGTTCTCAATCAAAATTCAATCTTTTTTTTTTTTTTTTTTTTTTTGCCTTGCTTTTCTCTGGTTCCTTTTAGGTTAGCCACATTACCTCATTGTGGAATTTAAACAGTAACAGTGCAGCTAACCAATGACCCCATGTATGCAACGGAAGTTCATGCTCTGAGTCGTACTTCTCTTTCCTTTGCTTTGTATAGCCACATAAGAAACTGTAGCGTACAGTCAGCCTCAGTGGGGAGGAATCTTGCTTCCAGATGGATGACCTTTGCTTACCAGTGGAAGTGGGGAGAGGGAGGTGAGGAGAGTAGGGGAGAATAAGGCAACCGCTTTGCTTGGCTTCCTTGGTTTCACCCTATTTTATGTAAGAGGGGCACTGCACCTCACAGACATAAAGTTTGGGACAAAATTATTCCTCATTTTTCACTGTCACAACCAGTGTCTGCCAGGAACATTTGTGGCAGGATATGGAGAAAGCAGGGGCCTTGACCTGGAAGCACAAGCAGTGTCCAGATAGTCTCTAGAGACATGAAAATGGGTATACAAATCCTAAAAATATCTCTACAATTAGGAGGTTACCCCAGGGTGAAAAGAGAGAAGGGGTTAAGTGCCAAGCTTGGGGTTACTCAAGTAAAATACATAATAGCAAATGCTATGTAGCACTTATGATTCTAGATTCTTCACATATATTAGTCTTCTTAAAAATATATATTTTATTGATTTTTTTAGAGAGAGGAAGAGAGAGGGATAGAGAGTTAGAAACATCGATGAGGGAGAAACATTGATCAGCTGCCTCTTGCACAACCCCTACTGGGGGTGTGCCTGCAACCAAGGTACATGCCTTTGACCGGAATCAAACCTGGGACCTTTCAGTACACAGGCCAATGCTCTATCCACTGAGCCAAACCGGTTTCAGCAATGTTTTTCATCTTTACAACAATCATATGACGCAGATACAATTCATTTCTGAGAAACTGAGGCACAGAAAGGTTGGGTAATTTACTAGAGTCACTCAGGTGGTAAGTGGAAGTGTTGAGATTCAAACCCAGGCAGCAAGTCTTCCGTAGCTTTTTAACCACTAGGCACTACTGCCTCTTTGAGACAAATAGTGACCAAGCCTGGAGTACAGTGAGAGGACAGCAAAAGTGGGGCAAAGGAGAAGGATTCCCAGGGAGACAGCTTCTGGAATATGAAATCAGTAGAAAGAAAATAATGCCACTAAGACACAAGTTAATAAAATCAAATAAACAGAAACCCTTGTTGCTATAGGAGATTCATGTAGCAAAAAGGAGCCAGTATGGAGACCTCGGTTTAATAGGTAGTAATAGCCACCATTTACCATGTGCCGGGCATGGCAGTGTGTTATATAGTTCTGTAACCCACATGATCCCATGAGATGAGATGTTTAATCTCCATTTTCCAGGTGAGAACTGAGGCATAGAGACATTGCATTACCCAAGACCCCATGTCTCGGAGGTACCGAGGTCAGAATTACAAACTTTGTGTCCATCCAACTTCTGAGACTATACTCTGAATCACTGGGCCACCATGGCAGAGAATCCAGCCACTGGAAAACAAGGGTGGAACCAGTCATAGTGATTAGACAGGCACAAGGCCAGGGCTACAGGATTGCAGGATTAGAAGTTGGGAGGCAACTGCACTCAAAATCTACAAAGATATCTGTGTCATGAAGCAGTGGTTGATTCAACCTAAGTCTGGGCCACGTGCCCAATGGGGGCTGTTGATTTCGACTTTCTACCCAATTAGTCAGGTCCCACTTACAGTGGGTAAATCCGTCATTCCAAGCTAACTTGTAAAGCAATTTATTTTCAAGGTGAATAATTTTCTAAATGCCATGTTGTAAGACTGGTTTAAAGAACAAAATTACCTTCATTTGAAAACAAAATAGATTACCCAATTCCTCAATTGGGGACATTTGATTTACAAATACATTTCATTTTGACCATAATTGCATTACTTCCATCCATATAATGTAGGAGAGACTTGTTCATGGCTCCTGCTCATTGTTACTCTCCCAGACTGCCTTCCTAGCAGGCCTCAGCCTTCTATCTCCAGCCCCATGTCAAGCCCATATAGTGATCATGTTACCATATGTAATTGTTGCTGTTATCTCTCTTAGCTTCACATTTGTAAGTTGCCAGCTGCATCTTGCTGTAAGAACTGCCACTATCTGTATACAAATCATAACTAATTGGTAGATATGAATCAGACCAGTAACTAAGAACTCAACATTTCTCATTATCAATGAAAAAAGGTAGACAAGTACAAGGCACAGAAATAACATGGATGAACAAAATATACAAGTAACTTTCAAAATTTGATCAGTAGTAATTCATACACTATCAGAAGCCCATGAAGGCAGGAACTGTCTCTGGCTCACCATTGTGTATCTAGAACTTGGCCCTGGGCCTGGCAGGCTAAGTGCTCAATCATGTTTTGTCATGAGAATGACCAATGTACGATGAATCGGAAGAGTGTGATGAATGCATACTATATGTTCAGAATGTTGTTGCTGCTAACTCACACCTCCCCCTCCACATAAGTATATGGTTTTCCACTGCCTGAGACTGCTGAATTAAAGAGAAGGCAGATAACAGAGGGAAAAGCAAGGGAACCTATCGACTTTAGTGTGTGAATCATGAAAAGTTTCACGCATCTTACACTTTGGAACTAATGCTTTCAAATAGAGTTTTTCCATGGGTTACAATATTTCCAGGAACTTCTATAAAATGTTCTCATTTAGATAGTGCAATCAGTCTTCACTTATCATCTTTTTTATTATTATTATTATTATTATTATTATTATTATTATTATTCACTTGGGCTACTTTCCTCATGAACAACACAATCATTGCAGCTATGACTTTTCCAATATTTCATGCACATTATTTAAAATTTAAATTTAGAATTATGATCATCCATTTGTAGCTCTAAAACACATTTCTGTTAGAGACTGCAAACAGAAGTTTCACTGTCATCATCCTCACAAGTTTCATTTATTTTTTTGATCAGTTGCCTTCTCAGTCTGTGACATGAGCAAACAACAAGAAGTTGTCTTGCCCTAACTGGTTTGGCTCAGTGGATAGAGCATCGACCTGTGGACTCAAGGGTCTTAGGTTCGATTCTGGTCAATGGGCACATCCCCATTTGGGGGTGTGCAGGAGGCAGCTGATGGATGTTTTTCTCTCATCAATATTTCTAACTCTCTATCCCTCTCTCTTCCTCTCTCTAAAAAAATCAATACCATATATATATATATATATATATATATATATATATATATATATATATATATATGTTGTCTATCCCAGTGCTTCTCAAGTTTCATTGTGCCTACAGATCACATGGGTCTCTTATTAGAATTCAGATTCGGATGCAGTAGGTCTGGCCAGGGGTCTGACATTCTGTGCTTCTAAGCAGCTCCCAGAATGGGAGTGGTTTCTCGGTTACTTGGGTCCTGTGGTTGTGGCTTTTACATTCTGCTCTACAAAATGAAGTACATTTGGGAACAAATCAAATTTAGATTAAAGTGGGGTTGGGATTAAAGGGCGTTTCCCCAGAGTGAAAACGTACTTACTTATTCACATTTTTCTTTACTTTAGGATAAGAAGAATATATTTTTCCATTGAGAAGAAACCCCTTTCTCCTAATGTCTGAAAAACAGAGAAGAAACCCCCAGCTTGTTTCACAGTTTAAGATGTGTAAAAAAATGTTTATAAATTCTATTATTAATATTAATTCCTATCTATAAATTAAGCCAATGTTATCATAGACTATTGGTAAAGCTTACTAAGCACCTAAAAACAATGAAGGAAAATATACTTATTTTTGTTGTTACAGTTGGGATACATTGGTCTTTTAATTCAGATTATTTTATTAAATATGTAAAGCATGATAAAACAAAACGATATTTATTGTCTTCACTTCAAGTAAACATTATAAACCCAAATCTTTCACGAGGGTGTCATTATGTTCATCCATTACAAACAAACAAAGCAAAACATCCATCCAGCTATACCTATACAGGTTAGTGAATGAATAACCCAGATGAAAAGTCTCTGACTCAGAAACAGTCATTTTAGTGCTAGTCTTGATAGAGCCCTTCATTTTTCTAGAATTTGTCCACTAAATAGTAAGCAGCCAGGAAGTTTATGGAGAGATTTAAAAAAATATATTTTACTAATACTACTGGGTTAAAAAGAGGTTAAAAGATGGAAAACAATCCAATCTTCTTGTCCCACCCCACCCCCAGTTGTCAAAAATAATGCATATGTAGATTTTAAAAACTGGAAAATAAAGGAAAAAATCTGTAATTCACTTCCCAGAAACAGCCATTGATAGTGTGTTGATACACTTGAACAATTTAATTCTTTTTTCCTAGTAATATGTTTTAGCTTACATGTTTGAAATCACATTGCATACTGTTTATATTTCTTATCCCTTTTAAATTTTTATTTATTTATTAATATTAGAGAAAGAAAGGAAGGGGGGAAGAGAGAAAGAAAAAGAGAGAGAGAGAAAGAGAGAGAGAGAGAGAGAGAGAGAGAGAGAGAGAGAGAGAGAGAGAGAGAGAGAGAGAGAGGAAACATCCATTTGTTGTTCCATCCATGCATTCACTGGTTGACTCTTTGTGACCTGACCAGGGCTACACTTGTAACCTTGATATATAGGGATTACACTCTAACCAACTGAGCTATCTGGCCAGGGCTATTATCCCTTTTAACATAACATATAATTTCCCATTCATTAAAATTTAATTCAAAATAATTATATTAAAATCTTTATATGTTTGTACTAAATTTTGCACTTACTAACCTATTTTTTTTACATTTGGCTTTTTTTGATTTTTCATTTTATATGTAACTGTTGTGATTAATTACCACTACCACCTCCCAAAAAAGGTTTCTCCTTCCCCTCCCCCCCTAGTATTCTGGTTACAACACCCCTTTCATTCTCCTTCCTCTCTAGGCTAAGATCATCTTTAAAAACTTCCTCCAGTTTACAGTTCTCAAGTCTATTTCTCAGTTTTAATGTAATAAATCAAGTCAGGTAAACAAAGACTGTTGACTAGTTATGTTCCTTCCCTACTTAAAAATATTTACACGGTGACACAGTCAATAAGCTCTTGAGTCAAGGTCCAAACTTCTCCAGATTTAAATATAAAAATTTCCATTTAGCTAATACACACTAGCAGAGATCCTACGTGTAAGCCAATTCCAGCCACCACCGTGTTTATGGAACTCTCGCATCACTGGCTCCTTCCATAACAGTGTTTGGGGCCAGTGGCTAAAATTGGAGAGATTGCACCTTAAGTTAGTCAAGAAATATAACACCAAAAATGACCTGGAGTTGAGGTAAAGCATTACTAATCTAAAGATCTTAATCTTCTAAAACTTCTTACCCTCAACCTTTTTGCATGTATGTTAGGATGACATAGAAAAAGTGCAATGGTTCGAGAATATTATTCACCCATTAGTAATGAAGTCTGGTTTGCACTTGAGCTCCCAGGGTGACTTTACAAACTTGCTGAGGGATTTCCTTCCTCTCTTCCACTTTACTACTGCCCAATAATCAAGCTCTTCCTCTCCCACCCCCTCCATCCCCACCCCAGCTCCCTTCCCAAGCCCCATTCATTCTCAGACTTGCTGCTTGGACTGGGTGCTCCACTGAGGACTGATTTCTGTTTCCTTGCTAGGATATCCATCCTTTTTCTATTTGGGGGCCCTGGTTCCTTTTGTGGTTAAATTTTGTTCTTTATTGCACATCTTCCTAACCGAATTCATGAACAAGGTTATCTATGCCAGGATTATGTGTAGTAATAAATAACTGAAACCATCTAAACACCAAATGTAGAGGATGGTTCTAAAAATTACTATATCTGATGGATCTTTTCTGAGTTTTTAATTTAGTAAGCATTTTAAAAAAATAAAAATTCTTTTTAAAAAAAATATATTTTACTGATTTTTCACAGAGAGGAAGAGAGAGGGATAAAGAGCTAGAAACATCAATGAGAGAGAATCATCGATCAGTTGCCTCTTGCACACCCCCTACTGGGAATGTACCCGCAACCAAGGTACATGCCCTTAACCGGAATCGAACCCGGGACCTTTCAGTCCCCAGGCCGATGCTCTACCCACTGAGCCAAACCAGTCCCAACAAAAATAAAAATTCTTTAAAAAACCAGAATTACAAGGACACTTCTTGAAAATGATAAAAATCTATAGTAATCTTAAACCAACAGCCATTTTCACACTTGGTGATATACAATAGAAGCATTCCTTCTGAGTTCAGAAATGAAACAAAAATGCTTTTTCTTTCTTTTTCTAAAGGCGTTTGCAACTTGCTCACTTACATTTTTCATGTTATATGCTCCAGGCCCCAGTAATCCTTGACTGTCCTCAGTGTGTGCCAGAGACAGGTGATAGCATACTGGGTAACTTAGTGTCCTAGGGCTTGCACTCCACTTCCTCATTTGACCAACTAAGTCATGGCAAAAGTATCTGTGAGCCACTCAGATAAAAGACCATCTGTGTTTTCCGATGGTCTTAGGCGACCCTGCTAGAGGTTCTCAACCTGTGGGTCTTGACATTAGAAAGTTGAGAAGCTCTGCTGTAGAGCCTAAGACCATCAGAAAACACAGATATATACATAACGATTCATTAACAGTAGCAACGAAAATAATTTTATGGTTGGGGGTCACCACAACATGAGGAACTATATTAAAGGGTCGAGGCATTAAAAAGGTTGAGAACCACTGGTCTAAATCATGATTTTATAGGCTCTATAGTGTGTCCTGGCATGACAGTACCAAAATTTTCTTAACCTTATTCCTACTGATGGGCATTCATTTTGTGTCCAATTTTTCTAAACTTGGTATTTTAAGAAATATTTCCACCTCCTTCTTCCTATGCAATTGATAGGAAACCCCTTAGATCTTTTTCAAAGCCCAGATAATTCCCCTTAATCCTGATAGAAGCCTGTGTGTTTATACCCCAGAAGGAATAAACCAGAAGGACTTTGAATAAAAATATGTGATCAAGTTAAGAGTCAGCCTTGCCCATTCAAGAGCCCCAATCTCCTGAGTTCCCAGAATGTTTCAGCCAGATTCACACACTTGTATAAAACACACACACACACACACACACACAAACACACACACACACACACACGGGACAGGAAATTGGAGGTGAATATGGATGGACCTGGACAGCATTATACGAAGTGAAATAAGCCAGTCACAGGAGGACAAATACTATATGATTCCACCTATGTAAGGTATCTAAAATAAACAAACTCAAAGGAGCAAAGAATAGGATGGTGGTTGCCAGGGATGGGATAAGGCATGATAGGGGAGTTACTGATCAACAGTTACACACAAGATGAGTACACTTTAGAGATTGACTGTACAACATTGTGCCTACAGGTAACAATACTGTATCGTACACCTAAAAATCTGTTGAGAGGTTAGGTCTCATGTTAAGTGTTCTTACCACACCAAAATAAAATTAAAAAAAAAAATAAAGGGCTAAAATAACTTCTAAAACTGTGTGCATGGGCAGGGCTGTTTACTGGTGGTTTTCCTTATATAGGGTATGATCCAGGGTGTGCCTATTTTTAGAATTCCAACCAGAGGCAACTACAGATTTTTGTGGGTGTGTGACGTGGTGAAACCATGATAAAGTCATGTTTTCAATGTGCAATTAAATGCATGGGACAAAGCTTAGATTAAAGGAGGAAGGTCAAATACGAATCATATTATAATATGCTGTTTACTCAGAAAAATACCAAAATTTATTTCTTACCATGTCTCACTTTCAGTCTTTATATTCTTACCTTTCAGATGCCTTTTTGATGGTAAATGGAAAGGACATATGTTAAGTAACCAACCCTTATTTTTTATGGTGTCTATACAATAGATGATGCCACTTAGAATTGTAGTAAATTTTGCTCCTTTTGTCTAAAGCTGCCTCCAGTAAGTCACTATAATTACAACCAAAAGAATTCTTACTAATACAACCAACTGCCTTTAGTTTTATCTGACTTAATTATAGTGCTTGCTTGGAGCACGTGTGTGGACTAAATGGCTTCCTTCTGGTTTATAATTCCACATCTCTATAACCAAAAGGGAGACAATAGAAACTGGCAGGGAGAGACTCATATCTACCCCTCCCCACCAACGGAAACTTCATCTCTTTAACATGAAAAATTTCATTGGCAATCTGACAAGCCTTGCCTACCTAACTGTAAATGGACAAGAGAAAGGTATAAAGGTAGAGGCCTGAAAGAGCTTTCTACTCTGACAGTGACACTTGATCAATGCAGAAGTGACAAAGGACAGAGTAACAAAGCAATCGAGGAAATGGTGCTTCTGGCCTGGCCATCGTGACTCAGTGGTTAAGCGTCAGCATATGAACCAGAAGGTCAGGGCTCAAATCCTGGTTGGGACACATGTCGGGGTTGCAGGCTTGATCCCCAGTGTAGGAGTGCAGGAGGCAGCCAATCAATGACTCTCTCATCATTGATGTTTCTTTCTCACTCTCACTCTCCATTCCTCTCTGAAATCAATAAAAAATATATTTTTGTCTTTTTAAAAAAAGGAAAATAGTGCTTCAAGAAACAGTATGCTGGCCTAACACATCACAGCGTCTCATGTCAATCTTTGGATTCTTCAGTTCTGGAATTGCTCTAAAGCTATAATTCAAACGGGTGTGCTGAGTGTGGTAGTTATCTATCCCACAAAGGCAGAAATGGCGGTCTATTTGTTCAGCTGTCCCTCATGTGCCTGGCACATGATCAACATTCAATAAACGTTATTGCGTGAAGTTATACTTTTGTGGGTTTATAAGCTCAAACAAGGTCTGACTCTACTGTCAGACCACAGTATTCTCAGTCCACAGTATATCAAAGTAAAGGGGTGGGGGGGTGGGGGAAATGAAAGTATTTTATTTTTCAGAGGAATGCAGCCAGCCCTGGGATCATCCTATCAAACTCTAACAACAATCCTCATTGCTCTTTCTTACCCTGTGGACTGGACCATGTGCCCAAGGAGCTTCAAGGGAGCCGAAGGGCCACGAGAGCTGTTTGGTGGTGGGAGTGAGGAGTGGTGGGCTCTGTGAGTGGGTGGTCAGACAGTGTGTCTCTCTGGGCTACGTGAGTGGGTGGTCAGGCAGTGTCTCCCTCTGTCATTCACATCAAATGTCTCTGAGTTAAAGAGTTGCTGCCATTTCCCTGCTGTCTTGAATGACCCAGGGAATTTAGTCTTTGTAAAGGAGCTCACTTAAGAAAGAAATCTCCTCTTTATGCAAAGCACAGAGGCACTGCCAGGACAGCAGCTGCTCTTAGACGGGCAGTGTTTATTCACTCACCGTCCTTCCCTTTCTCTCCAAAATCTTATGCTTGTTGAGTTGCCATAAACATCACCAAGGGTAAATACAGACCAAAGGTTCTTTGTGGAGCTGTTGGAAAGAATCCTATTATAACCAGCATTTTCAATGTGATTTCATCTTCATGCAGCCTGTAACATTTCTGGGCTGTGGTGTATTCAGCTACAATAAGCTTAACCAAGAATGATAAATTTGGCTGTCCTACTTCTTCAGAATTTTTTTTTTTCTTGCTCTATGAGCAACATGCATTTCCACAGTTTTCCAAAATCATTTATAGGTCATTAATTTTGCTTACTTTATTTTTTTAATTTTTTTAAAAATATATTTTTTATTGATTTTTTACAGAGAGGAAGGGAGAGAAATAGAGAGCCGGAAACACTGATGAGAGAGAAACACTGACCAGCCGCCTCCTGCACAACCCCCCACCGGGGATGTACATGCCCCTGACCGGAATAGAACCTGGGATCCTTCAGTCCGCAGACCGACGCTCTACCACTGAGCCAAACCGGTTTCGGCAATTTTGCGTACTTTAATCCAACAAGTATTTCCTAATATTTCAATTCCCTCAGACCCCTTTTAAGGGAAGAGTCACAGGAATGAGTGTGATGGAACTCGGTCCACACTGTTGCGGTCTGATTGGTTGCTTGGGGGAATTTGCTAGTCAGGGCAGAATTACCTGACTCCTGGGGAAAATACATTTTCCTTCCATTTTCTTTTGTGAGTTGTGCCCTGGTTCTGTGTGAAAAGTGGGTCAGGACAGGGGGAAGGGAGAGTAGTCAAGATCCTCACTCCATCTTCAGAGATTTGGGCTGCCTCCTGGAGTCAGGGCTCAGTAGTTGAGCATCAGCCTGGAGTGTGGCCACACGTAAGTATTGATACAGGGCGGGTGCCATAGTAGGCTCAGATCCAATAAGCTGAAGTTCCTGACATTCAGGATTTGTGCTTACTTGACAGAAGACCCAAGTAGCTTTGGGGTGGGGGTAAGAGGATAGTACTGGTGCACCTGAAGAGAATTTGGAAAGGCCACTTTTACCATACACTTAGATCACACATATTGCACTGTGTGATATTAACATGTTTTTTTCACTGTCAAAATAATTTTCTTAAAAAAATAAAAGATAGTCCTGACTGGTTTGGCTCAGTGGATAGAGCATCAGCCTGTGAACTGGAGGGGTCCCGGGTTCGATTCCGGTTGGGGGCATGTGCCTTGGTTGCAAGCACATCTCCAGTGGGGGGGTGCACAGGAGGCAGCTGATCAATGTCTCTCTCTCATCTATGTTTCTGGCTCTCTGTCCCTCTCTTTTCCTCTCTGTAAAGAATCAATAAAATATATTTTAAAAAAATAAAAGATAATTTTCTTTTTGTGAGTCATGATTTCTATCATTTTTACATGTGACTGAAAATCTGTATTTTAGAATATTTTAACAAGAATTCAGAGGGAAACCCCCTAATATTTAAAATATCATACAAGCATATCTGACTTTCATAAAAATTTTATTACATTTTTCTGAACATCCAAAATTCTTGCATTACCTGTTCAGTCAAGCAAGTGTACAGGAAAAACTTGAATGTACAAAAGACTAAAACCCTACAATAGATATAGTACATTCTCATATTAACTATTCATAACAATGTCTTTTATGGGCAGTGTGTTCTTTGCACTTAGATAAACAAGGATTTTTCCACCAATGATTTAACAGGGCAATAACAATTGTGTTGTTGTTGAACTTACACAATTCTTGATTTTTTTTTAACAATCATTTTCATACTGATCTTCCAAAGGAAACAATCCCTACCTTTTTGCCTATGGATAAACCTTTCTGACCACACTTGCTCACTGGTTGTTCCCCATTTCACAGTAAGTACATCATACTGGGAGGGACTCTGAATTGCTCTTTTCTTTCTTCAAGAAAAAACAACAAAATTTAAAGTATACTTTTCAGGTCAATCTTAAGTCACAGAAATCTCGGGTCCAATAAAAATTAGCAACCACTTGAGGGGAGCCTCTCGGAGCCCAGGCTGACAGAGCTGGGTGCGACAGGGAAGACCCTAAGCACTTGGACTGTGTCCGGGGCTCCCTTAGGAAACACCCACTGTCTCTGATGAGGAGCACCAGGACAGGCTTACCACGAACCATTCCCCTGGGGAGGAACAAAGAACGCATTGGACTGTTAGGAACCACAGTTGGCCTGGTTCTTGCCCCCAGAGAATCGTGTCCTATATTACATTTTGGAACTGAATAGGTAGGTCATTCTTGGACACGTTGTGAGTGATTACTCATTCAGCTTGAAAAAAATGAGCCTTGATGTCTGAAGCTCTCCTCTCTGCTGCTTTATCAATCCTCAGGTTCCAAAAGCCCTCCTTTATACCTGACCTGGTTGTCCTCATATTGCCACTGAAAGCCAGGCTTTCTTGTGTAACATTTTGTGGAAGCGAAGAGGCCTTTTCAGTGCACAAAGAATCGTGTGCTGATTGTTACCAATTTAAAAAGAATCATAGAACGTTTACAGTTCTCGGGTGATTTAGAGTTCATCTATAATAATAAAAGTGTACTATGCTAATTAGACTGGACAGCCGAATGACCTTCTGGATGAAGCCGTGGCTGCGGGACGAAGACAGCTGCCATGGGAGAGCTGAGCCCCTTGTACTATTTCGTGAATCGGGCCTCTCATTTAGAATAATAATAATTTACACAGGCTATGTTGTTTTTTCATGCCTATGTTTTCTTCAGGTAACAGTATATTTTCCTTTGGAGAACTACCCTCCCCCCATTGTTAGGCCTTGAGGTTTAGATGGGGCTGATTCCATGCTGAAGCTCCAATAGAGGGTCTACAGAGATGTCCCTTGATTGCAGTGGCTGCTTCAAGAATGAGCTCTTGATCCAGGTTGGGTCAGTGAGAGCCAGCCTAATTTGGTCAAGTATGTGATGCCTGTCTGCAGGGTTCTGATTAGCACCCGTGCAGCATTTTACACTGAAAGCTTAAGGGGCTTCTGAAGGTCACAGCAAGTCATTCACACAGCCAATTCCTCGCGATACCTCCCACATTCTAGTGGGAGCACAGATACTGAAAGGTAATTTCAGTAAGACATTAAGAGCACTCATAAATTCAGTAAGTATTCATTGAGGTGCTGAATACTACTAGATGCCTAGATCTGTGCACCGGATGGAGTTATGATTGAAACAGAAAGATGCATATGTGGGAGCATATAGGAGGGGCCTATAGCCTACCTTGGATATAGATATGTGCATATGGGCATCCAGAAAGGCTTAATGGAGGAAGGAATTCCTAATGTCTTATTCTCCTTTAATCCTCTTCCTTATTCTCACAACTAGTTTCTTTGTTCAGGTAGCTTTTTGTTTCACATCTACACTGAGTGGCCAGATTATTATGATCTCTGAACGCATAATAATCTGGCCATTGTGTGTGTGTGTGTGTGTGTGTGTGTGTGTGTGTGTTAGAGGCCTGGTGCATGAATTCGTGCATGGGTGGGGTCTGGCCAGCTTGGCCAGGGGGAGAGGACATGGGCAGTTGGCCGGTCTGCCTGCTGGTTGAACTCCTGGTCGAGGGGACAATTTGCATATTAGCCTTATATTATACAGGATATACACAGAGTGGCCAGATTATTATGCATTCAGAGATCATAATAATCTGGTCACTCAGTGTATATAACAGCAACTGCATTTATTTCTACTCTTATTCTGGTTCCCTAATACCCAATTTATCCTTTACTAACAACAAAATGGTTGTTCTTAAAAACATTTTACTTAGGTATATATGTGTGTGTGTGTGTGTGTGTGTGTGTGTGTGTATTACTATGTAAACATGTAGCTTGATAAATTTCCCCAAGCAAACACACCCATTAACCAGTGCCTACATCAATAAACATGGTCAGCATGCCAGAAGCCCACCTCCTGTCTCCTTCCATATATCACCTGCCCTTACAAATAATCCTTTAAAAATCCTTGCTCCCTTGCTTTGTTAAAATCTTTCAAGTTCTTTCCACAGCATAAAACTCCATCTCCTTGGCCAAACAAAACCCTAGTAATTCCTAACCTACTGTTCTAGTCCTCACTGCCTGGCTTTTGCATATGCTGCTCCTTTAAGATGAACACCTCAGCCCTTTTCCTCCCCCATTTCAACCTTTCCTAATTATTCCTGGAGCCATCTTCTCAAAGCTCTCCATGATCTCTTCCTTCTCCCTGGTCTGTTTCTCTTATAGATTCTTGAAGGTAGAAGTAGTGTTTTTCATCCCAGTTTCCCAGTTGGTTAAATAAGAACACCTGGCATTATTACTTTCCCATAATACCTTTCCTCCCTAATCCTCCTCCTCTCCATTCATTTCAAATGAAAACAAACGATTGCCCTGTGAATAAATCAACGTGGAAGATCTTCAGTCACGCACCCCTTATGTGATTTTGTCCTTGTTTGAACATCTTCAGAGAAAACACATCTTGTGTACTTACACAAACCAAGCCAGTATAGTCTATTGTTCTAGGCTATCCAGGCGTCTTCAAACTACGGCCCGCGGGTCACATGCGGCCCACAGAGGAGTCTGATCCGGCCCGCCAGGTTTTTTGGGCAGTGAGCGCAGCCGAGGTGTTACAGTAGGAATTAGTAGTTCATATAGTCCGGCCCCCCAGCTCTCTGAGGGACCGTGATCTGGCCCGCACTTTAAAAAGTTTGAGGACCCCTGCTCCACTGTAAGCAGGTGGTAAGAAGCGAGGTGTCTGAGACTATGAGAGCCCTGGACTGCGAGAGGGATGTCTGACTGCTGGCTTAGACTGGCAGGTGGACATCCCCCGAGGGGTCCGGACTGCGAGAGGATGCAGGCCAGGCTGAGGGACCCCCTCCCCTCCCGAGTGCACAAATTTCATGTACTGTGCTGTGGGGTCTGTTTCTCTGTTTTCCGTGACCCGCACGGAAAACCACAGGTTCCTGAGTGGAGGAGCTGGGGATTAAGAAATTAAAGAAAAAAAGAGACCAAGACACAAAAATAGATTCAAACTGGGACCCAGGTGGGAGGCTGTCACTCAGATAGAGAGACAGTCACCACCCACCACAGACAACACAGCGCATTTGTTTATTTCCAAAAGAATAAAGGGAGGTTTCCTTGAAAAATTTAGAATCAAAGAAGTTTTGAGTGGGCCCAGGTCCTATTCATTCCCTCATTCCTGGGATTTAGCATATCAAGACCTGGGTAAGTCAAGGTCCTATTCGTTCCTCATTCCAAGCACATGGATAAAGATAAATCAGTACTGATAACAGTCTCCCACATTTTGGGGAAACATGGTCCCAGGGCATGGCTCTGCCTGTGCCTTGAGTTCAGCTGATGATAATTAAAGGTCATCCATGTGCATTCCCAGGGGACCCTCTACACCACATGTGTCAAACACAAGGCCCGCCAGGCCTTGCAATGTGGCCCGCACCGCGCTGTCATCACTGCACTCCGCTGCGTTTCCATCACAATGACAGTTTATGACTGTTCAGTAAACCATTCGGCCCGCAATTTAGGCTGGATTTTAGATTTTGGCCCCTTCTCTGATTGAGTTCGACACCCCTACTCTACACTGTGCCTCTAGTACTTTTATATAACCGGTGGTACAGGTTTGTTTACTCTGGTATCACCACAAAGGTAAATGCATTGTGCTATATGTCCTATATGATCTTTTGATAGCTACAATGTCACTAAGCAATAGAAATTTTTCAGCTGTTATAACCTTATAGGACCATGGCTATACTAGTATATACAATCTGTCATTAACTGAAAAGCCCTTATGTGGTGCATGACTAGTTTGTAGAAAAGTCATGATTGGTTTCCTCTGACCCAGCCATATCTTCCTGCTATGTATATCCCCCTCCCCCCAAAATCCACCCATACACACCAAGATAAGACTAAAGTAGGGGCAATTTGTGGCCTAGCACCCAACCAAGGTAAGTGAACAGAATGGAACTTGACATTCATGGGATCTGAGCCATTCTGATGGTTTAATTGGAATATCTGGAGAACTTAAGGGAAAACATGGAGGAGGGGGAGGAAGCAAGCAAGTATTGATAGATTAACATTACCAAATGCCTACCTTCCATGCACCGGACACAAATCTATCTATGATGTCTTACTTTACTAACGTGGGGAAGGAAGGTGCATAAATGTATAGATTAATGAATTGCATAAAAAGAAAAGTCAATGTGTCCTTTCCTTCATTTGGTTGAAAAAAGGTTATTTATGCATTTATAGCTTTTTCTTTTTTAATTAAAAATAACAGTAGAGAATCACTGTAGTTCCTGGTTTCAATGACAATTTGCTTTTAAGAAGCTTGAAAATGATTCTGTGAAATAAAAAATATATAGACTCATTAGGAAAAGGGTGTTAGTGTGTAGAAGAAAGTGGTACCAGGTTGATGGGTATACTAGTAGTCAGAGCACTTTCACACCGGCTCCCAAACAGTTACTGCAGGCCGGCAGGCAGGGCCACCTGAAACCATTTTTTATAGAAACATTTACAATCTGGAGTTGTTGTTTTAGATCACATGTGTCAAACACAAGGCCCGGGGGCCAAATCCGTCCCGCCAGGCCTTGCAATGTGGCCTGCACCGTGCTGTCATCACTGCACTCCGCTGCGTTTCCATCACAATGACAGTTTATGACTGTTCAGTAAACCATTTGGCCCGCGATTTAGGCTGGATTTTAGATTTTGGCCCCTTCTCTGATTGAGTTCGACACCCCTATTTTAGATTTTTAGCGAGAGAGGAAGAGAGAGAAACATTAGGGTGAGAGTGAAACATGGATCAGCTGCCTCCTGCACACCCCGCACCAAAGATGGAGCCCACAGCTTGGCATGTGCTCTGGCTGGGAATTGAACCTGAAACCCTTCGGTGCAGGGGAGGATGCCCAGCCAACTGAACCACACTGGCCAAGGCTTGACTTGATTTTTAATGAAAAAGTTCTTCACACACACACAAAAAAATAATAATCCACACAGTAAACCCAAGTTTATTTTCTGTGTGCATAACATTAAACGCATCTGACAGGTTGGCCTCATTCCCAGAAAATCTTTCCCCTCACAACGTTCTGTAACTTACATGACACTGGGCTGGGCCATCACCGATGCACAGCTGTGTGTGATCTTCTAAGTTTTCTCAAAACTGCCTCCTCTCAAGTCCTCAGCTCATCCACGGCCTATTTAGAATGTTGCTGAATAAACGTTTAATTACATAAAAAGGCTAAAACCCAGAAATTCACATTTAAGCCATAGGAGAAAAGTTTCCTCAAGCAACTGTAGAAATCGATGCCGGATTGTTGCCTTCTGAATAAACCTGATCAGGACCTAGTGCTTGGTGACATATTATTTATCTTAGCCATCCTTTTATAGGCCAGAGTGTTTTGCATAATCTTAAATGAGGGAATTGTTTCTTTAGTGCTTAGTAAAATTACTGGTGATATACATTCATTTACGTCACTGAATGGGCAGATAACTGCTTGAGAACAAAGACCTCCAGCGTCTTATCTTTATCTTTGGTTTAGTGAGTCCTCCTAGCCGCCTAGCCCCAGTACAAAGAATGCTGTGAGCCAAAGCGGTTTGGCTCAGTGGATAGAGCCTCAGCCTGCGGGTTTAATTACCGTCAGGGGCATGTACCTGGGTTGCAGGCACATCCCAGTAGGAGGAGTGCAAGAGGCAGCTGATCGATGATTCTCTCTCATGTTTCTAACTCTCCCACTCCTTTCCCCTCAGTAAAAAATCAATTATATATATATATATATATATATATATATATATATATATATATATATATATATAATTTTTAAAGAATGCTGTGAGCTGAGCAGTCTGAAGTGTTCGGTGGGGAGCAAAAGAGAGAACGTTCCAATAGTTCAGAAAACCTTTTATTCTTCTCTACCCTGTGCCTGAGGCAGTAGGCAAAGGGGGGGTGGGAGGGTTCTTACGACCGTAGGGTTTAACCTTAAAACTTGGTTCCACTAAATGCAAAACCTCTGCAAGACTTCTGGCCTGTCTCAGTGGGTCACAAGGTCAGGGTCGCCCATGGCTCCGGGGATCTGGATGGGGCTCGCTCTCTCCGGCAGGCGTCGCTGGCCACAGCGGAGCCGCGAGGAAGGAAGTGGACTCTGATCTTCCGTTCAAACAGGAGGCTCGGCATCCCAGGCTCGCCCGTCCGCCGGTACCTGCGCCCGCCCTCGCGCCGCGGCGACTTTTGGAGAGACTCCGGTGCCCGGGTCCTCGCTCCAGGGCGCGGGTTCGGGCCATTGAAAGGTGGAGCGCAGGGGCGGCTCTGGAAGGGCCGGGAGGGCCGGGCGCCAGGCTGGAGCGGGGCGCGGGGCTGGCGCTGAAAGGCCTGGGACCCCGGGGGGCGGGATCCGGAGTAACGGGCGGGGATGAGCCTGCGGGGCGCAGCCGGGAGTCCGGGAGCAGCGGAGAGGGAAGGGACCGGGTGGAGGTGCAGCAGGAAACGCCCGGGGCCTGGCCGGGCCGGTCGGGCTGGGGGCGCCCCGGAGGGGAGGGACGGGGCGGCGCCCCGCTGGCCTGCCGCGCTCGCTCACCTCGCCCTGGCGGCGCGCCCCGCGGGCGGCTGCGGGGCGGGGAGCAGGATCTGCGGACCTGGGGATCCGGGACCGCCCTCTCGGGACTGAGGGCCGGTGGCGGCGAGCGGCAGCGACGGCTGGAGCCGCAGCGGCAGTATGAGAGCGGGCGCCGCTGCCCCACGCCCGCGGCGGCTCCGGGTGCGCGCGCCATGGGGGAGCCGGGGGGCCCCGCGGGCGGCGCGCGGCGCGGGCGGCGCGGGGTGCGGGGGCTGCCGCGGGCCGCCTCGGCGCTGGGGGCCACCGGCCTGCTGTGCACCGCGCTGGCCGCCTACGCCTGCTGGGGGCAGCTGCCGCCGCTGCCCTGGGCCGCCCCGGCCCCGCCGCGGGCGGTGGGCGTGCTGCTGTGGTGGGAGCCCTTCGCGGGGCGCCGCAGCGCCACCCGGCCGCCCCCCGACTGCTGGCTGCGCTTCAACATCAGCGGCTGCCGCCTGCTCACCGACCGGGCCGCCTACTGGGAAGCCCAGGCTGTGCTTTTCCACCACCGGGACCTGGTGAAGGGGCCCCCGGACTGGCCCCCGCCGCCCTGGGGCGCCCGGGTGCGCTCGGCGGAGGAGCTGGCGCTGCGGGTGTTGAACGAGGAGGCGGAGGAGGAAACCGTGGGCGTCTCGGGCCACAGGCCCCCGGGCCAGCGCTGGGTGTGGATGAACTTCGAGTCGCCCTCGCACTCCCCGGGGCTGCGGAGCCTGGCAGGGAACCTCTTCAACTGGACGCTGTCCTACCGGGCCGACTCGGACATCTTCGTGCCTTACGGCTACCTCTACTCCAGGACGCATCCCAGCGACCAGCCGCCCGGCCCGGCCCCCACGCTGGCCCGGAAGCGGGGGCTGGTGGCCTGGGTGGTGAGCAACTGGGACGAGCGCCAGGCGCGGGTGCGCTACTTCCACCAGCTGAGCCAGCACGTGCACGTGGACGTGTTCGGTAAAGGCGGGAGCCGGCGGCCGGTGCCCGACGCCGGGCTTCTGCACACGGTGGCCCGTTACAAGTTCTACCTGGCCTTCGAGAACTCGCAGCACCTGGACTACATCACGGAGAAGCTCTGGCGCAACTCGCTGCTGGCCGGCACCGTGCCGGTGGTGCTGGGCCCCGACCGTGCCAACTACGAGCGCTTTCTGCCCCGCGGTGCCTTCATCCACGTGGACGACTTCCCCAGTGCCTCCTCCCTGGCCGCCTACCTGCTCTTCCTGGACCGAAACCCGGCCGTCTACCGCCGCTACTTCCACTGGCGCCGGCGCTACGCCGTGCACATCACCTCCTTCTGGGACGAGCCCTGGTGCCGGACCTGCGAGGCGGTGCAGAGGGCCGGCGACCGGCCCCAGAGCAAACGCAACCTGGCTCGCTGGTTTGAGCGGTGAAGCCACCCAGGGAGGTCTTTCAAGTCGTCAGCTTTTTGATCCTTTGCTGTGTATCTCCTGGAATTGCCAAATCCTGGGATGAAGGTTTTGCTTGTGGGAACAAGGTGATGTGCCAGTGTTATTCAGCACAAAGGCTGGGTGGGTAGGATCCCGGTTCAGTTCTTTATGGGTTGTTTGTTTTTTTTTTGGGGGGGGGGGGTTTGCGCGAGGAGGAGTCGGGCTCTTTGCTATTGATGGGCATCGGAGAAATCACCTTTCTCCCCTGCTAATTAACCAGTGCAGAGGTGAAGAGATAGCTGCACTATAAGAAGCCATTGAGTCCGTTGCTCCGAGTTTCCTCGCCTGCCACAGGTCATGTTTGTGGCCTGTGCTGAGTCCAAATGTCACACACGCTGCTGCTCGTTTCACATTTCATTGGACTAAGATGCAGCAGACCCCTGGTTTTAGAAAGATCCTTGTTGTGGGATAGTGGAAGGACCGTGGCTGTGGCCACAAGGAAGTCTTTCTCTTTGTCGGTTGAATTCCTCAAATCCTCAGCTCCTGAGAAAGGTGAGGAGGGTCATCCAAGAATCCGTTGACTGTTTCTTAACAAGTACTGTTTGTTCCCCTGCCAGTGAACGGAAACAAGATGCTGCATTGTCCTTGGAGAAGAGATCAGGTGAATATATAAGTGTACCTCTCTTTACACAAATGTGTTCTTGAAGAGCTGCTTTCCTTTTTTTTTTTTTTTTTTAAAATCCTCACCTGATGATAGGTTTATTATTATTATTACTAATTTTGGAGGGAGGAGGGGAGACAGCAAAACATCCATTGGTTGCCTCCACACTCACCCCAACGGGGTTCAAACCAAAACCCAAGGATCAAAGCAAAACCGCCAGGTATGTGCTCTGACCGGGAATCAAACCCCCAACCCTTTGGTGTACCCACAACACTTCAACCTACTGAGCCACTCCAGCCGGGCCCAGAAAGCTGCTTATCAATCACATCCCAAATTCACTGCCCCAGGGGGGGGTTCAGTATTTAATACAGCCTTATGGAGAATCCCTTTACAATGTGAATAATCATCCCTAACTAATGTCGTCTTCTCTGTGTCTATGTTTTTCTATAACCTGGATTGTTTTTTAAAGAGCATATTAAATTTACAGATGTGAAAATAAAGTAGAAGCAACTTTCTTCTCCCCACTTCCCAGAAAACCAGACTGTGTTTACAAGACAGAAGAGAAGGAAGCCACCGTGTCATTTTCCACAAAATTACTTATTTTGTGCCTTTATGGGACCTGAAATTTAAACTGGAATATTTCATTCCTCCAGGGGTGCTGGCATTACCTGCCAGCAGAACAGTGAAAGATTGAACTGCATTGTGGACTCATGCAAAAGGAAAAAAAGTTTCATGGTGTCTGTTAATGGCAGTGTTTTGTTTCGATCTGTCAGTTTTTTGTTAAATGTTTAGTTGCTGGGGAATGGAGCTAAATTGATGTCTGTGATGAACTTTGTCTTTTTTAAAAAATATATTTTACTGATTTTTTATAGAGAGGAAGGGAGAGGGATAGATAATTAGAAACATCAATCAGCTGCCTCCTGCACACCCTCCACTGGGGGATGTGCCTGCAACCAAGGTACATGCCCTTGACCGGAATTGAACCTGGGACCCTTCAGTCTGCAGACTGCTGCTCTATCCACTGAGCCAAACCGGTTTTGGCGAACTTTGTCTTTCGGTAAAGGCTAAACTACAATTCACCTTGGGGCCAGTAGGTTCCCCTCCTAGTCTGCATCGTGGTACATATATACTTACGTTTCTAACGCCCTTGAGACTGTGCCATGGGACCAACTCTGAAAATATATGCATTGACTTTAAAAGTTGTTTGAGCAGTATATTCAATAGGTGTTACCATGTGCCTTACTCTGTGCCAAACACTGGGCTTGGGGTACCACAGGAAAAACAAAAATATGTAAGGCAAGATTCTTCTCTTAAAGGCTCTTACAACCTGCCACTGCCAACAAGTAATCAGTGAACTTTATAAATCAACTGGCAGAACCTATTTGGTTAAAATGATATCCTTAGTGACATGGACCATAAGTGAATTATTAGAAAGCCAGTAGACTTATGGCCTGAAATAATAGTTAGTTTCTTGATTTATTGTAATGAGTACCCTCAGTGACTAATTATTGTGGGTAGGGTCCAAGATTAATTAGATTTACACAGGGTTCTGCTGTGAATAATTATTTTGCATTTGACTACTACAATTAGTTGAATCATAAAGTTTTATCTCTGCATTTGTTGTAGACTCACTTAAAAAATCACTGAAATCTAAAACGTGCTTCAATTCTCTCTATCCTTAAAAGGGGAAATTAAAATCCATGGGTAAGACTTCCTATTTAAAATATTATAGCCTGGGCAGAATTATAATTACAAAGTATTAACTGTCCAACAAAGAAAAAGGAAAACCTTCATTCTTAAAAATGAATATTTACGGGATACTGGCCAGTGATCTTGGTATTATTAGGAATCTACATGAGGCAGTGGGAGAGAGTTTAGGTTTTGAGGGTAACCTGGCTTAGAGTTGAATTCCAGCAGTGTGACCTTTGGCAAATTAGTAAGAACCCTGAACCTCAGCTCCCTTATCAGTAAAATAGGGAAAGAAAACACTCACAGCTCATTGTGAGCATATCAGGAAGTAAAATATTGTAGGTTTAAAGGTGGTTACTCAATTGGTGAGGAAAAATATATATATTTTTTCCCTCTTTCCCTGCAATGGTTTCAGGGTGCCTCCATATTCATACACATGTTTAAAATTAAATCTATATTTCAAATGAATTCCTAAAGCTAAGCCTATTATTTCAAAAATCTTTGCCATTTTTTAGTAGACTGACCTTGAATTTGCAGACCACTTATGCTTTCTTTGAGAAAAAAAAAAAAGATTGTTTTTGTTTTGGTTGAGTTATATAAGTAAATATTATTTTACTAATGATCTTACTACTGTCCATTTAAAAGTAATCACATATTGAATATTTAACATGAGGAAGCTATAATTGCTATTATTATTTATTTGAAAATTTGGGGTGTGAAATGAAGAATATTTTAAAAGGCTAATCTCATCAAAGAGCACGACAGATGTGGCAATTGTTCATTTTATGGTATTTTTCATATTCTAAATTGAGCAGCTTAAAATTTCACAAGCACTAAATATAAAATGTATATATATATTCATCATATAGATTTCAAAATATCTTTCCTGTGATTGCCATGCCCTTCCTTTAACGCACAAGCTTTTCTTTACAACCTATTACAAACTGAGTATTTTTAGCACTTGATGACTCTAATTACATGAGTGCATCTGGAATGAATTTGCCTCAGGAAAGACAGTCTGACTGGTGTTCAGTATTCACAGATCCTTCCCAGTGTCCAAGCCCTCCCCTGGCGGTAATTTAGAGAGAGGGAGGCTTCATGGAAAGAGCTTGCAATTTAGAGCCAGAATCTGGGTAAGCGGTTCTGCCACATTCTACCCCTAAATAAACTCTGAGCTTTGGCTTCCTCCTTTATAATGCAGGAATGCCCCTACAAGACAAGGACTAAATGTGATGATGCATGCCAGGGTGCTTTGTACATTGTAAGTTGCTATACAGTTACAGGATGTTCTACATTTTCAAGGCTCTGGAGGAGGGGTTGGCATACTTTTCCTATTAAGGACCTGAGAGTGAATGTTTCAGGCTTTGCAGGACCATGCAGTGTCACCTCCCGTGGTAGGGCACAGGCAGCCGTTGTCAATACATAAACAAATGGCGTGCCTGGGTTTGGCCGCAGTCAGTTTGTCAACTCTGCTCTAGACTTTTAGAGGTAGACGGGGTTTGAGAACCTACCTGATGGGGGCTTCTTAGAATGGACTTGGGAATTGTAACTTAAAAATTTTAGAGGCAGATATTCCTTGGTTCCTAGACCAGCTTTGCAACATTTGCTAATCTATAAAAATAATAAAAGGGTAATGTGCTCATTAGACCGGATGTCATTCATGACAAAGGTGGGGCCGGAGGGAAGCTTGGGTCTTGGGTGCCAGATGGAAGCCAGTGCCGGCAGCTGGGGGAGGGCCTACTCTTGCACAATTTCATACGTTGGGCCTCTAGTTGTCTTATATTGGACAAATTATTTAAGCTTTCTGTGTTTTCATATTTTCATACCTACTAGAGGGGAAGCATATGTAATTTATGGAGGTGCTGGGAGAATGAGATAAGAACTTACAGCACTCGGTACAGTGTGTCACACATGGGAAGCATCTGGAAGATAGCTGTGATGCCACGAGGGCATTTAGTAGTGGCAGAACCAGCCTTGCTTGTGCAAGTCACAACCACCTGGAGCCTCTGTCACTTGAACTGCAAAATGAGAGGGTTGTCCAAGATCTCCTCTTGGGACCTCTAGTTCTCTTGCCATCATTCTAACCAGCACCTTAGGGCGTTAAGAACTAATCCTTCTCCCCACGTGCCTTCCCTACTGTCTGGAAATGACTTACTATGCAGCAGCCATAAACTGGCAGAAAACCAGGCACCAGAGAGGGACACTGATGCAGTGTCACCTGCTTTAGATGGCAGGGAAGGGAGCCAGGTTCTTGGCAATTAGTCTGGTGAATAATTGCTTTGAATCCATTTCAAGTCATTCTTGGATGTGTCTCAGGGACTTCTATGCTACAGATTCTGATAACAAATCAATAATTTCTGTATACATGTTCAGGTTATTTTGACAAAATAATTAAAGTAATGAAATGAAAAAATGAGTCTTTGTTTATAATGTGTATCCCCAGGCACTAAGGTGGGATTTACTTGTCCAAAGGGTTTCATGTAAGTTCATTGGTTCTAGCTGGGTCACTGAAATGCAAAGGCTTTGCCTCTGAGTTGTACCTGGGCCTCTTGTCTTTCTTGCTCATCTCTCCAAGGAGCATAAGCAGTAGACTCCTTTCTCTCATTCCATCTTATTTATTAAGTACTCAGATGCCCTCTTTACTTCCTGTTCATTAAATTTAAAAAATTGCCATTTTTTAAAGAGGTGGAATAAAGTCTGGGCACGTGATAGTTGGCAAAGGTACCTTTCTTAGCAGCTGGTGCTCAAATTATTGAAAGGGGGAAATATGAAATGAGAAAAAACACTGAAGATTTCCTCTGCTTTCCCTCCTCCAACACACTCCGCCACTGCCATGCTCATTTCACTACAGATTTTGAAAAAACGATGAAGGCCATTTGAGGGGAGGAGACACAAGTAGAGAGGAATCAATAGTGAATGAGTGAAAGCAACTGTTCACTGTAAAGTAGAACTGATGGTGAATACAGGTGGGGAGTGAAGAGGAAAAAGGAAACAGAGTAAAGTGTTTGAAGAGAAAATGAGAATAGAAAGGCGAGGGAAGATAAGATAAGGGTAAGACAATGGAGGAGGTAGGATAAAAGAGGAACATATGCTCAGAGAATGGGGGAGTCCTGTCAGAGCCTCCATTCAGTGCCACTTTTCTAAAAGAAGCCTGTGTTCCAACTTGAAACACAGCATCTGGTGGCAAATGGAGAATGAAATAGGGAAGTTTGAACTCATTGAGCTTAACAAGGAATAAACTAACATTTCAGCAGAAATATAAAATTATCTCTTGATTCATTATAACTTTTTTTTTTTTTTTTTTTTACAACAGATTCTTGAACTCTGATGAATGCTTCTTTTTCATCTTGGAAAAAAATCACATTCACTGCAGTTTTTAAAACATTTCCAATGGGCATACTTCAACTGTACTTAATATCCCCTCTCAGAGAAATTTCTTTTTTTTTTTTATAGAGGCATAATCACAAATTAGTCTCTTTGAAGAAGAGTCAAAAGACTCAGTACATTTGATACACTTCAGAATTTCATGTGGAGCCTTGTAAAAACCACTTCAAGTTAAGATGTAAAGGATCTAATTTTGAGATCTTTGAATTAATGTTTTTTAAAATGGGTGAATCTTACCTAAATATACTAAAAAAATATGCCCTATTTAACACACATGCTAAAATTTTCATCTGAATTACTTATAAAAGGGGAGAAATGGACTACTCAGCCACACAAATACTGCTTCAGTGCCTGCTACGCCCAGGACTAGGAATGTGTGAGGAGTTGGGAT